AATTCCAACCATGGTTAAAAGTAATTCACAATAAAGTCAAGTTAAAATTCTCTATAGTCTTCTATTCTTTTCTCCCAGAGGTTCTCTGGATATTCTTATGTATAAATCTAATTGTAGTCTACCAGACTGAAATGTTACTGAATACATATTATGTGACAATTTTTATAATCAGTAATGTATTCAACTGGACTATTTAAAAAAATGTAATCTAATCTGAACACGGATTACTTCAGAATCAAACACTGAAAGCACCAGACACTAAAAAAATGGATGCAGCCACAAAAACCTGAATTCCACAAAAAGCCTTTTTTTTCTTTAAACATCTAAAAACATTTTCAATGCAAATAAAACACATTTTGCACATTTAGCATTTACAGTTGTTCAAATCAAATGACCCTAATTAATTACCACCACAAAATGGGGCACTTGTCCAAGAGACCCTGTGTTTTTGATGTGCTTTTCATGACTTAATAATGTTAGTTATCATGAAAAAAGTTTCAGAGTTTAAAATGATTGCATTTTAAAGACATCATAAAATGTGATCAAGTAATCCATGACATTATATTAATCTAATTGACCTATGGCTAAATCCCGCCCTCAAACACGATAAGCCAATCACAATGCGTATAGCCATTCCCATACACTTGGTCATTCTCTGCCTGGACGTCCATTGAAATGCATTACAGAAAGCCAGTTTTGTTCGGTTTTATGAGCTTTTTCGGAGATTTGAAGTTTAAAAAGTGGTCAAACGGTGTGCATGGGGTACATGCAACTCCGACACAAAGTATCCTGAGAGGCTGGGCGACGGGGTGTATTTTTTACACTTTAAACCACATCTCAACTGTGAAAAATGTCTCCTTTGGATAAAGTTGTGTGGTAACGTTAGACCACAACATCAACTCAACATGAATGATGTCTACATCTGTTTTAAGGTAAGTCAACACTGTGTTTGAGGCAACATATTCTCACTTTGCTGGAAAGAAATATAAAGTTATCTTTAACATCTCTAGCTAACGTTAGCTAAAGTTAGCCGAATTTTAGCTCCTAGCTGCGTTGTTCATCATGTCACCTTGTTTGCTGGGAGTTCATTAGCCTATTTTGTTCTAGTTTTGTACTTCGGTGATCGTACATCATTGTTAGCTGTGTCCAAAGGGCTCTAGTTAAGCTAACGTTAACTTCTGGAGCTTAGCTTCATTAACTTATCTGTAATCGCAGAGATAACAAAGGTTGGCAAACGTTATGCTGAATGATTCAGTGTAAATACTGTAGCACCAAACTAACAGAGAGACACTCTTGGTAAAGATGGTAAAAAGGCCGTTATCCTTTTCTCATATTCTGAGCCAAAAACCTTAACTTCAGTTGCACTTAAACTTCTTGTCTTTGATGGCGACGGCAACGAGATGTGGTTCACAAGTGTACACTGTGACCTGTAAATTTTGGCCTGTAATTTAAGCTTTTCATCGACCTTCTCAACAATAAAATGATATATCCCTCCAACGCGTAGTTTAGGCCCTTTTGGTTACTTCTCAATGACATCTGATCGTTATGTCCCCAAAAATCACCAATTGCCTCCTGCGAAATTCTGTGTACTGTGACACCTGCCATAGCGCCGGTCACTGAATGTTGTTTGTCCAAGTGAGTGGAGGGGGGCGTGGCTTAGCCATAGGTCAATTGTATATTTTTAATATAATATGGACTGATTATAATACTTATATTTTTTGTCATTTAATCACATAATCCCAATTACATGTGTTCTGTTACTACCCAACCCTATTTACAAATTAACGTTAAGCTAAACACAAGAGATGAGAGTGATAATCCACCTGAGTTTATTTCCTTATGTTTGAGAGAGACTTAACCTACATTCAGCTGCAAAACAATCACATCATATGTGCAGGATAGCAAAAAAAGTTAGCTATAATATTAAAAGTGAAGATAAAAGACAGCTTCATAGCGGGTGAAGATGGGTAGAGGAGGAAGAACTGTGAGGGAGAGAGTGTTGAGGTCCATACTTGCAACAGTGTTATGCTGTATACTTGGCATCAGGACCTGGTCACCTACAACTGTCCCCTGTCCTGCAAACGCCACTTTCTCGGTGCTGTGCACCTAAAACAGAAGAAAAAGAGGCTAAAATTATTTTTGACTTAGGTTAAAAATAGCCGTCTTTGTGCTTCGGATAGACAAACTCAGCTTTCTATAGATGTGTGGAAGTACTTGTACCTGTCCCCATCTCTGTGACTGCACACAAAATGATGTCACCACATTTTCTGAGTTGTTCCCACCAATCACAAGCAGCCTGTCAGTGGCGGCACCCAGGAAGTAAAGAGTAGGGAGGTCTGTATCTGCTCTCGTGAGGGTGGGAAGCAGTTCAGACCAGGAGTCTAAAAGACAGAGAGAATACAGAAACATCATTATTCATACAAGCTCTCTGGGCTGTAAAAAACAAAAACATATTCCTCTTGCCAAACAGGGCTTTGCAGTTCTGCCGTACCTTGCCTTGTGTTATACTGCAGCAGCAATTTCTCTCCTGTCCTCTGGATGCTCCCCAACACATAGAGACAGTGTCCAAGGCTAGTGGCAAGGGGCACATCATGGGACAAGGACATGGTGAACTGGAAGTCAGTGAGCGGCAGTGAGGAGACAAACCTGAGACAGAGTGTAATCAGTCACTGATACACCAACAACAGGATACTTTTCTGAAGGGAGAAAGATTTTTTTAGTGACGTCCCAAAAACCTACCCACTGAATTACACTGATAAAGAGGACACAAACCTCCATGTGTCCTCCCATGGATCATAGCATTCTACAGCTGTGTAGAGAGCTGTGCTGGAATCTGGGGTCACCAGTGAGTCCAAGTACCAGCCTCCCACAGCGTAAATACAGCCTTCACAGGCCACTGCACTGAAGTGCCTTCTGTGCTGTGGACGCAACAAATGGTGACAGTTTTCTTTATATAGATGACTACGGAAAGCAAGAGAAGTTTTATTTTGGGTAAAACAGCCAGATCATTAGCTTGACTCACAAACTAGAAGACTGGCTCACCTTAATCAGAGGAGCTGTGGCAGCCCACGTATGAGTGAAGGGATTATACCTTAAGGAGGCCATCTTGAACTCCCAGCCTCTCTTCACAGGCTGTCGGTAGCCTCCTATTATGTACAGGTAGTTATATAGGACCACTGTAGTGAAACACCACTTATCAGCCCTGAAGGGAAGCTCTGTAACTGGACACCAATCTCCACTGTCCTCTGACCCTCTCAGGGTGAAGATATATCTGGCACGCTCTGTTTCCGGGTCTTTCCAAGAAGTCAGGTTCTCTTTCCTGAGGCTGCAGAGACGTCGGTCTCCTTGTTTCCTCAGGTGGACGACTTCAACCTTCTCCTCATTGTTCAGACACCTGACGGGTGAATCAGTTTTAGGGACAAGACAGAAACATGTGGCCAACTAGGTCTAAATAGTTTATGGTCATGTAATTATACTGTTAAGGGATGCATACTTGATGAGGTGAGGCAGCTCCAGCAGGTTTCTACTCAGGTAGGTGAACACTGTCATCCTCAGCTCCTCACAGCAGATCTCCTGAGCCAGACTCAGGTAAGACAAACAGTTACCTGGGCTGAGTTCATCTGCCAGGACCAAGAGACACTTTGAGAGGAAGGCCTCAGCCAGGAGATAGCTGCTGACCTCCAGAGTCAGAGAGGCAGAAAGCAAGAGATTATAGGTTGGTTTTGGGGGGAATCATGGCACTGAATTTGCACAGGGGAGCATAAGATTTCTGATTGTGACAGGGGTAAATGAGACATGGAGATATGAAGTCTTTATACCTGGATGTGTGTGCCCAACTCCTCCTGAGGGACTTTAAACTTATCATGGAAGGAGAACTCGAGGAGATTGTGGAAGACAGAAGAGGACACGTGGTCCAGGTGGATGAGGCTCTCCGAGGTCTCTCTCATTCTGGACTGGGACAAGGCTCGGAAGTACTCGCTGCACTCCGATAGTCTCCCAAGGTCGACCTTAAAGATGAATGATTCAACCAGTTAGTTAATACAGTTAGCTTTTGTTGAACCTGTATCGCTAGGAGACTTATGTTTTGTTTTTTACTTACATGGAATGCACATGTGCTGGTTTGGACCGTAACCCTGGTTTCGTCTTCATCTCCAGAGTGATATGTGCGAAGTGCCTCATTAGTTTTCCACTCCTCTGAGTCTGCCTTGCATGATCGTCTATCTGTAATACCCTGAGAAGCTATCTGATTTTTGACTGCTGGAAAAGCTCCCCAAACTCTTGTGAGAACATATTTCAGCCAAAAGCTTATCCAGTGAAGAAGCATCATAAAGCATTGCCTGAGGGGACTCATCTCATTGGCTGTCAGATCTAAGTTAAGCCCATTATAGCAGCTTGAATACTGCCTGTACCAGGTTTTCGGTTAAAATCTATAGGGTTAAACATGCGATGCTCCTCTCACACAACCACTGCTCCGATCACAGATTCAGATTGATGCTTTAAGTGCTCCAAATAAGGGAAGACAAGCCCCCCGGAAGAATTCCAAACAGCCACTGTAATGGAAAAATAGAGGACAGAACAGTTTAGTCCATGCTTCCTTTCCCTGCTGCAGCTCTCTCAGTCACGTGTCCTTTGACAGCACAAACAACGAAGCAGCTGAGAGGAAAGATTTAAGGCCACATGCCAACAGAAACAGCTTGTTGATAAAGAAAATAGTGTAGTGTAGAGAGAGGCTAAATCTTCAGAACTCCTGTTTGTTCTGCAACAGATCCAGTCGATTCAGAGCGTCCCTCGATCATTGAGCAGTGTCGTTCTTTCTGGCTGGTCTATTCTTGGCACGTGGAGGTGGGATGAAACATAGCTCCTTTACTCTGCTCCTAGCGTCATCATGGGGCAGTCAAGTTACTGTGCCGTTATATGAGAGTAACTTAAATGTATCAGTGCATTTGTTAAATATCTTTTAAGACTGATAGTCATAAGAAAAACAAGTGCACAGACACAGGTTCTAAGCACATCTTTTTATTAGCTTTTAAATTTAAATTTTAGTAGTGCAAAGAGGACCAATACAATACAGAGTTTTAAAAGATAGAAATGGTACTGAAACATTGTCAATTTAAAAAAAAAACAGCTACAGGTAGTTAATGAGGCACAGTTAAGTCTAGTACATTCTCAAAAGTACACTGATGTAGCTAAGTGTAAAACAAGGATATCATGACATTAACTGATGGCAGTGCAGTCTGACAAATACAGGAGACGGTGTAAATAAATACAAGAATCATAAAGGAAATTAAAAAAGGAAGTAAAAAAGCTTCGAGAAAATGTCAAAACCCTGCTTCACATTCAAACAAGCAAAAGGGAAAGTCGTGTTGTGACTTTATTATAATACAGATTTTCTAATTTAAGCAATTCAGATTGACGAGGTTGCATATATGTGCCGCATAGACATTATAGTTAACCTAATTCAGTAGGTAGAATGACAAACATTTAAATATTCTAGGTTATGGTTCTCAGCCAAGACAAAAGCAGAACACAAGAAACAGCTCTGAAAAACATCATCAACACGAAAGGTAATACAAACCGAATAACAGTTAAAGGTGCGGCAGAAATGTACAGTTAATACAGATCTAATGTTACTAACTTAACTGTCTTAAACTTTGGAACTGTTCTAATGGTTACATTGACAGTATTGTTGACTACAGTGATACTGTATAAAATAGCCCTCGTGCAATAACTTGCTGAATGTAGGTTAAGTATTTAACTTAAAGTTATTGGACCGTGAAAGAAAAAGTCTAATGTAGAATGAACACCAAAAGAAAAGAGAGAGGTAGAATGACTGAAAAAACTAAATTAAAGAGATATACAAAAGCCTTTCACACTGAACTTAATACTATTTGTTTTAGTAAACAAAAATTATTTTAACAGTGAGATTTACCGTCTGAAATTACAAGACACAGATACTCTGGCAATCACCATTCTCCATCACAGCAGCTGACCATCACATTGACTGAGCCCTTCAAATGATTGAAACAGAAAAACATTAAATGCTGTAGAGCTATAACTGCTCTAATAAGTGCTCCTTCACACGATGTGTAAAGGTACTTAAATAAAATGGATTGCCTGTATCATGTTAAAATGTAAATGTCGATCCTTCACCACACATTGCTTGTCATAAGCAGAGCTGCATAGGACCAGAGTGTCGATATCACATGGTTGAAAATAGAGACATTAGATTCGGATTCACATGGTGGAAATCAGGACCAGAGCTTTTTGAGCTTGAAGTAGGCATCAAAACGACACAGGGCATAGTCCTGCAAAACAACAGGGTATACTGTGAGGCAAGGTTCAATAAAATGTAACATTAAATATGCGAGTGACAAACATTACAATGTGTACTGCAATCATAAACTGTATATAGAGGTGGATGATGCGTCTCCACTTCCTCCTACAGTACAAAAATGAAGCCAGAATATCCTGACTACGTTGTTGCTATCTTCTCTGGTAACGTCGTTTGGAGCCAGAGTCTTTGCAGTAGAGATCTCCATGGTTCTTGCCCATACAAGTGTCTGACCAATCGCTAGCAGCACCATTGATTGTGAGCACACCAACTGGCGCATATAAGCCCCTCTTACAGTGCCTGTTCAAGGTGAGAAATTCAAGCCCTTATCCAACTTCACTGTTCTTTATAAAAGGTAAGATTGCGGAATGGAGGGACGGAGTTGTTCTGCTTTTAAGCTGGCAGCAGAGGTAGTAACTACGCCACATGGACATCTGTGTAAAAGGAACAGCCAGCAGGACGGGACCATGGATGGGACGAGTGTGACGTTTGGATGATGTGTTATGTGTGCAACCCACTCAGAGGATATTCAAAAAGCAACGAGCAGCAGTTAGCAGCTAACTCAAAGAAGAACAGCAGCCAAAAATGACTGCACACTGGGGAGACAATTAGGTCCGGAAGCTCCTTACCCTCCGGGCAGAGGATGAGATCAGCCGCCGTGTAACAGGGGTGGTAAGTGACTGTTAATGCCATGTTATGCCACTGTTATTGTTTAAAAAGTGCTTGCAGCATACATGTTTTATGTTACACTGTTTCGTTTCAAGTTATGCCTGTCACACCTCTTTTGCTTCAGCAATGGCGGCATGCTATCTAAAATCACCCACTGGGGCGGCGTGATGCTGCTGTGGTTTGGTTCTGTGAAAAAATGCAAAGGCTGCATAAGGATGGGACTTTATAGCAGCTCTATAGTACAATCTCTGTGTAAAAAGGGCCCCATCTATGTCAAACCATGGTGTGAAACCCCCTTTTTATAGCATCGAATAACTAGTTATAGCCAAACTTATCAGAAAAATGAAAACTTGAATGTACAGCAGCGTGATAAGAACCACCTAAAATGAAAGAAAACCATTTTTTGATGTGTACTTGTGAGATTTTATTTGGCTAATGTCCCACCTGCTAACATCAAGGGGTCGGGGTTTATGACCTGTGCTGCAGCCAGTCACCAGGGGGCGATCACAATGTTTTGGCTTCACTTTTGGGAAGCTGTTATGTTCATACAGTCTATGATTAAAATACATGTACTCTGCAGCTGAATCACATCAGACTGTTAAAGGAAAAGAAATTCCCCTTACCATGTATCCAAACTCAATCTTGGAGATCTTTGCTTGAATGATGGACCACAGCCCCCAGAGGAAATGTGACGCCAGTGCATACCTACAAATCAAAACAAAAATGATGACGACACAACAAAACCAGGGCTCTGCTGGTTCTTTTAATCACACATACTGCTGCTGTACATCATTATAACAGCATGTGTTACCTGTTAGCTTCAACTATCATGTCCTCTTCCAGTTGTGTCTGGTCCACGGTAATGGCAGTGTATTTTTTCTGTTCTGCCAAATAACTTCTGATAAAATGAAGCTGAAATAAAATGCAAAATCATCTTTAATAAATGTAGTACAGTTATCATCTGTTGGGGATTTATTACAACTGTATTTGTTTACACCCTTTGTGTTCACCTACACCAGTGGTTCTCAACTTTTTTTGTGTCAAGGACCCATAATTTGATACATGTAAGGTCACTGACCCACATTTGATATAATTTCCCTTCAGGGACCTCCATCTGAAAAGATACTGGTTGTTAGATATGATTAAGACCAGAATTCTACAGCTGTTAACGACAGTTTACTTTGGAGGAAGTGAAACCTATGATCAGAATAGTCACTCCTGTGACTCATACTGGGCTTATTCTGTATTTAATGAAACTGTGAAAATAAACAATTCCATACTTTTCCGGGCGCCCACTAGAACCCACCTCAATATCTCGTGATTTCAGCTGCAACAATTCCCCACACATGCCACAGCACTCTGCTGTAAATAATCCTCCTTTAAACTCAAAATTTCATTTACAAGTTTTACCACTAGATGGTACTGTGTAACCAGAGTACCTGTCATATCTATTCCCCAGTAAGATTAAAAGATTACCTTAGATCTTAGGTTTAACTTAGGGTTTAAATGTTGGCACTGTAGTAGCTTATATAGTATCAGCCTGAGCTTCACAGGAAATTGTGAGAGTAATACTAAAATTGGAAAAGTCTGTATAATGTTTTAACAGTAAAAATAATTGCGTAAGTGCTGCATGACCGTAAATGCTGTGCAAAACCCCCAATATCCCCATTTAAAGCATCTAATTAAAGTGATTGCAGGTTTTATCGTTCATCAAAAGTATAACCTCCACTTACAATATCTGACCTTTTCTCTGTGAATACACTTTGAAATAAACCAAATTAGTTTTTAACTTTTATACAAAGTTTTGAATTTTTAAACATTTCTCTGTAAATGTTTCATATTGAGGTTTGTATTTCTGACTTTGACACCAATTAACGCTTACCATTACAGTGCAGTGTGGCAATTGTATTCCAACCATAGCAACAAAAAATAGAGGGATTCTATTTTAATTATTTAATGTGAAGCTTTATTTAGTGATCAAAGAAAGGTAGATTGACTTAGACTGACCTGCTGCTCTCTGGTAGGATAGTCGTCCACTGTGGCTTTGTAGAAGGGCCACTGGTTATAGGTGTAGTTATACATCCATTCACAGAAATGGTTCCCGAAGTCAAAACCCCTACACAAATTATAATATAATATTATTAATATTAATAAGCAAGGGCACAATCTACAATTGCAGCCCAAACTGCTCATTTCTAAACAAAAGATATCAATACTGTTGATGTGTGACTCATTACATTTGCCACAAACTAAGACTTTACCTGTAGTTGTAACTGCTGTACTCAAAGTCGATCAGCATGAGTCTGTCTCTTGAGTTATGGTCCTCCTTGTCCAGTATCAGAATGTTACCTGCAGCAGCAAAACCCACCATCATTCACTCTCTCCATTTACTTCAGCTACTGTCAAGTATTTCTGTTATACTGACAAGTATCTGAACTATTCAAACTGGTCACCACATATGGGTGGTTTGGTGAGTGGTCACTGTGTGCGTGTGCGCGCAAATGTGTTAATAAAGGGGACATTATCAAAAGGCCTTTTCTGTCTCACCATGACAAGTCTCAATTCACAGAGCCAGGCCCATAAAGAAATGGTTTCACCAGTTACTCTGAATGTTGAATAACCTGTTCAGTAAAAGCTGGAAAGCTTCCCAGACATGCAGAGACTGTCAGAGCAGCATAATGATGCTAATGCATTCATTGGAAACCTAAATCTCCTACTGCCACATCATCTACTTCAGAGGCTCATTTTCAATCACGGGATGATACATATGAATGTGAGCCACACCTATTAATAACTTCACCCCAGCCTTCGTTTGATTTATGGAATGCACTGCTCTCCTTGGCAATGTGACAGTAAGGACAGGGGGTTGATCAATCAGCCCAGTTTAGAGGTGTTAGGATCAAGGGCGTAGGTTTCATTTCAACATTGGTGGGGACACAGATCAAGTGGGGGGAGTGCGGGTGCTCTCCAGGAAATTCTGAGTGTCAAACACTGTATTTCCTGCATTCTGGTGATGTTTTATGCACCAAGTTTTTGATGGAAATGTCTGTCTATGTTAAGAAAAACACCAAATTCAGGCAATTCATGACAATTAATAAGTAATAATGGAACAAAATGAATAAATATTTATTCTGCTGTAGATCCACCTTTCTCATTTGATGTTATTACTGCTGACTAAAAACTCGTGTAGGCACAGTTTACTTTTCCGTCCTGTGTCTCCTTTGTTTGGGGAAGTAACCTCTTTAGCAGTTGTGTGCTGCGTTTTATCAGAGGTGGAACACAGAAATGAACAGAAAACACTTTTGATCAGGCACTGAACATGATCATCACATACTGAAAAATAAAATGCACTGTCCCTTACTGAATCAATACGAGATGTTTGTGCCATATTTTCGTGCACAGAACTGTTAGAATGACGATAATGTGAACGAATTCACTCAAATATTGATGGGGACAATTCTTTCCCATACTCTCCACATGCAAACCTACGCCCTTGGTAAGAAAATGGAACCCAACAAGAGAGGAAAAAGTTTTTACCTTCCTGGACGTCATTGTGGCAGAACACCACTGGCGATGGAGTCGCTGCCAGCAAGGCACTGTTGTGGAGAGAGGAGCCAGAAAGAGGGAGAAGAGAGAAAGAGCTTGTCAGTGTTGTATTCACAGGTGGTGTAACTTAGTAATTATTATTACTAAATTATGAGAAATAGGCCAAACAGAAAGCCAATCAATTAAAAAAATTATAAAAGTTAAGATGTTCAAGACCATACACTAAGGCAATGCCACACAAACATGTCATGTTGTTTACAGCTCTTAATATTCTACTGCAAGCAAAGCAGGCTGCATCACATCATGTTCACTCCAGTTTTACTCTCACTGGTGGACAACATACATGAGATAAACACCTGACTTCATATCTATAGTGTAGCATCTGCTCAATGATTGTGGATCAAACGCTTGAGTCACGGCAAGTCGATTCAAGTTTCTGTGATGCATATACAAAAGAATGTTGTCTAGCAGGTAATATAACATGCAATCCCTCTTTAACATTGCTTACAGAATATAGGCGTTTACAATCACACAGAAGATTTAAAGTCCCACAGGAAATTAATAATTTTTTTGCACTGCATCCACTTTTTATAATGTCGGACGTGATTTGTCGCATTTGTAATGTGGTTTTGTTGATCGGTTAATGTTTTGTATTTATATATTTATGTGGAAGCTGATGTCCTGGAACACGAGACAAATTTCAGAATCTTTTCTGACAATAAAGTAAAATCATATCAGAATCAGAGTCAAATGATCTCTCCTGAATAGCAGGTATATATGGAGGCATCACTGGCATTATATACTGAGCAATTCAAAGCATCTATGTATGTACCCTGTCAGATTACCCAATATGTTCTTAGTGTGTATGATTGACAGAGCTCCAGAACTGCTGTATGACCAAGTACAAAAAGTGATGTTCAACTCTCCAGACGCTCTGGAGTACATAACCTGCCTGGAGCAAGCCAAGATATTATCAGATCAGATATGTTTGAGGACCTTTAGATGACTGCAGCAATTGGCCTGGGGAATTTCCATGAAGTGATCTCTAAATCTTAAGTCTGCTTCAGTATGAGACTGCCACATATCTACAAGATAACAAACCTGCTCATAGATATGCCCTGATACTGGTTAACACTGACAATAAGCACTGGGCTGATTTTCTACTGGCTGCAGAGGTCAGACTGACAGGCAACGTGGAGGCACTGGGACAAAGGTCAGCCATTAGACTGAATTACTATGTGTAATACATCTCAAACTATAACCCTTAAAGCCTTATTTGTCTAATGTAAAATCTTTTCTTATCAATATTCATCATGTTCAAGTCTCAATAGGTAAGTTTAATGCTGAAAGATGTGTGAAAAATTAATTGTACAACTGAATCAAGCCTTTGGGCTTTACTGTGACTGCTTAAAATGTTGGATAAATAATGTATGAATATAGCCAAGCATATGCTAGGTGACATAGTAACCAATTTGCTGTCTCATGTTGTTTCTCAGGATCCACATGTTCCCAGGGTTACGTCGTAGCCTTGGTGGCAGAAACACCAAGTCAACACAAAACTATTTAACTGTTCAATAGGTCTCCCTCTGTTCCTCTGACTATCTGAGGGCATGATGTTTAATCAAACACTCTGCAAGCATCAGGGGTTAAACAGGCTAAACTGCCACTCCCATTGCATCACCATTCTGCTACTTCCCCTCCAAGTAATTTTGAAGCTTACTGGAAAACTCGTCAACAGAAGGGTTTTGCTTTAGGGCTTTATGTTGAGCAATCAGCCTAAAATGTATAACCAACTGACAGGTGAAGTGATTAACATTAATTATCTTGTTACAACCCTGGGAAACCTTCCGTCTTGGCATTCATGCGGACGCGATTTGACACGCAACATCCATTCAGACACCATTGCAGAACAAGAAACCCTCCCCTCATGGCAACAGTGCTCCCCGACAGCGGTGGCCCCCTCGCAGGACAATGAGACAAAAAGCTCAAAGCATCAACCTGGCCTCTAAATCCTCCCGATTCCAGTCCGATCGGGCATCCATCCAGCGTGCCAGTAGCCCACATCGCAACCCACAGAACTAAACCGATCCACCGCCAATGCCCTGGTGACAGGCACCACTGGACATCCCCAGAGGTCCTGTGTTCATTCCTTAACTGGTCAGAGCCAAGTCTGATTCACAGTAGGGCCTCTGACCTGTTGAGGCATGGTCACAGCACCTCTGGGGTACCGCCACATGCCATGGATTCTCAATCAGATTGGGATCTGGGGAATTTAGAGACCAGGTTGACTCCTTGAACTCTTTATCACATTCCTCAGGCCATTCCTGAGCAGTTTTTACGATGTGGCATGGCGCATTGTCCTGCTGGGGGGCGGGGGGGGCTGTTACCATTAGGGGGTGTACAGTACTTGCTCTGCAATCATATGAATGCCAGGACCCGAGGTTTCCCAGCAGAGGACTGCATTGTAACAAGATTATCAATGTTATTAACTTGACCTGTCAGTGTCAATATTTTGGCTGATCAGTGCATATCATAATATAAAGTCACCTCATGCAATATACAATATTTGGCCATTTGAAGCTTGTGGCCCAACTTACCGGAGACTCTCAAGCTCAGCAGGCAGGTCGTGCTTCATCAGCTTATTGTATTTCTTCACATGTGCTTCACGTGTAAAACTGAGATTCATCACTTGATCCATGTATCTAAAGGAAAAAAATATCCAGTACATTTTATAATTAAAAACCAGACAGTTCTAGCAGTAGTAATAGAGTGATATTAAGGTGTCCTTACTTGTCGATGGTCCCAAACAGCCACTTAGGCTCTTTGTTAAAGGGCATGCTCATTTTATGGAAACGTGCCAACTTGGTGGCAATCTCAGCTGATATGGCTGAATCTGAGAGTTGATCTGTGCGCATGCAGGTATTCTAGGAAAACAAAGGCCGAGAGATGATACACATGCTCGCTCCACATTAAGAACTAGATCAAGTAAATACATTAGAGGCAACTAAAGAATATTGTTCAGTGGGAATGCATTTCTAAAGAGCAATTATTTTTTGTCATCATTGCACAAAAATATATTCAGTACAATCTACACATTATAGTTTAACCCTGAATACCAAACACTTAACATACACAATACAAATATAACCATTTTTTATCTCATGACAGTCAAGGACTTGTGTCACTGTGTCCCCACACACAAAATATGTTTAAAAAACGTTGCCTGAAGCAGGAGAGACACACAGTGTGCATATATGTGAGCAGTTAGGTGTGCATACCGGAAGGTACTCTTCCAAGCGTCCCTCGGGGAAGATGCCATAAAGTTTTGGTCCTAGTGTTCGTTCTGCCAGGATGGCAAACATCACACTCTCCAACACCAGGGAGTCCACTCCCTGCATCAGACAGTCACAGTTTGATAGTGTTTTTGGTTTAGTTCATGCTTCAGTGTGAAGAACAATGACACTGTGACAGTTAACTGACTACAATGATGGCACAGAATTTTCTCCCCGTGATCATTAAACATGTACAGCCACACACATTCATGGACTAATAACTTCTCGAGGGCACCAATGAGACGGACCAACCTGTAGGATGGCACCATAGACTCTGAGGAGCACCTGGCGAGGTTCCCCTCCCACACATCTCACGTGGTGGGGCAGACAACACAGGTACAGCAGATTACTCAGTCCACCGCTGTGAAGCAAACACACCAGTGTTATCACATTGGGGCAAAGTTAACATGACCCCCTGGAATCTAGTCATAAACAATAGTCAGAAAACACCTGTAGATTTTTCTTAAGAAACCTTTTATGTTGTGTTTACCTTTGTCACAGTGTTCATACTGTACTGCATATACCTTGGCATTTTCATACTGTTTATTACCATTACTTACACTACCACTATACATATCACTGGTTAAATGCTCAACTGCACCCCTCAGCACTGTTACTGTTTACAGTGACAACAAAGCTGAGTCTAATCTAAACAGTGATCAGCCTGGGTGGTTGAATTGAAGGCTCCTTACAAAAAAAGGGTCATCCTATAGTGTTAGAGGAATGCAAAATAGCAATTACAAATACAACATATGCCTGAATGTCACAGTATAGTGGTTCCCAACATGGGGATCAAGATTTAGATGAAACAACAGGGAACTAACTCACAACCCATGTCCACACTAAGGCTATAATCTGACCACAAGTAACTTTATCAAACCAAATGAGATGGGAAATGCTGTTATAAGAAGTAAATGAGGGCCATTGTAAAGCCATTATTTGGGACCATGGACATAGCGGTCCGCACACATTCATGTGTAAATCCCTCGCATCTTAGTGATGCTATCCTCACATGCTTTACCTGACAATGCTAATTTGAAAATCCTCCTCATCGATCGTCTTCCAGGCCCCTGACAGAAAGTCTCGGCACCAGGCAAACGCCCTGCCCCTGGTGTCCCGGTCGACCTCCTCGGATCTTCCATCCCGGAAAGCCTCTGCCTCCGAGTCGTCATCGTAATTTCCCCCAAACAGAGGGCTCGGGGTCCTCAAGTTTCTCTCGTTAGCGACAACTCCCAGGAATTTGTTCTCCAGCGGAGGACCCGCATCTTCTGCTGTGACAGCCGGAATGGTCCTGAACAGCCCCGGCCTTGGATTCTCTGCCTCAGCCAAGCCCTCCTTTCCACAACCGTCGCTGCTGGTCACATTTTGGCTCGACTGCATCGTGAATTTCCGGGCGAAGAGTAAGGGAGGACCGGTGTGAAATGCTGGTCTCAAACGGCAGGAGGGACTCGCGGACAAGCGCAGTTCACCGGTAAGGCTACTTAACCGGAAGAGCCAAACATAGCCGGGTAATCTAAAACGCATGGGGTAGGGGGCGTTTTATATCGACGATTTAAGTATCATATATTCAGATGACAGCTTTTCGTCCTCGCACGCGCACTGAGCCTAACTGGCGTATTCATTGTCCAATCACAGTTCACTTCCGCGTTCTTGTGCCAAGCTCATTGGCCGTTGTGACGTTAGACGTCAGCTTCCCATACGCAGGAGGATTCGGCTTCTGGGAAATGACGTGTTTGTGTTTGGCTAGAATTTTAGCACACATGTTTGTGGTTACATAGAAAATCAAATGAATCTTTTATTTTTTGGTACAAACATATGTGTGGGGAAAATTATAGGCTAGATTTTATTACAGTTTACTAAGATATGTGATTGTGTGGTAAAAGCTGGGTCGTTTTAAAGGGGAACACCAACTGAATTAAGAATTACAACAGGCCTGTGTTATTTTCACAGCCAAGAAAAGTTTTATCAATATCTGTGAACATGAGCTACTCTCTCTCAAAGCCAGAAACCAGAGAAGTAAGTCTCAAACTTTTAATGTCGCAGGGTATAACACCTGGAGCTGCTCATTAGAAAATGAATGGCAGTCTGATTTTATGGACCCACAGCATGTGTTTTCTATTTTATACCCATAAAAGCTTTATTCTATTGTAGAGCTTTCAGTTCTGAAACGGAAAATGTGCCAGAACATTCCTCTGGGTGCTCTTAGTGTCATCTAAAACATCTTTCCCAGTTCATTGTCTATGGAGCAGCTCCAGACTTTATACCCTATGACATCACAGATTTGAGTTTTAACACTGTCATTTTTGGATTTTGGAGAAAGTTGCAACTTTGACAAACACAGAATTCCACTGGATACACCATGTAAAAGTTCAACAAGGTAGAACACTTTTGGACAGCCACTTAATTGTTGATTTTGGCCCCCTTGTATTACTGTCAGAACAGTATCTGGTCTGATCTGATCTGATGGATGTCAAGTACTTTATGTTGTGGCATAGTCATATGTTTTTTCTGCAGTATCTGTTTTAGATTTTAGGCTACTGCTGTGAGGTCACAGAGTAAATAATGCATTTGAATGAAATTTAATAACATCAGACAACATAATCCAGCAAATTGGTGATTTATTTGAAACTCAGTCACATTTCAGTTTGCAACAGGAACAGAGATTTCATGACGAGGTTCTGTCTCCATGTTGTTACTGACTCGTGGTCTCGCTCACGATGTTAAGCTCCCCACTGCTAACCACGCTGGTCTCAGCTCTGAAGCCTCTCTGGATGGAAGCAGCAATGTCCCTCCCTGTATACAATACATGGCAATGGTCAGTTTCTGTCAGTCTTGAGGTTGAGTAAGACACAAGATTATGTTGGATGTAATTTACTCTTGGTGAAAATATGTTCAGCCAAGAGCTTTTCTGATTTCCATATCACAAACCATGCTGTTTTTGTAACACTTGACAAACGTGATCTATTTAGCTTTCTGTATTCATTGCATTTAAAAACAAAGGAATAAGACTTCACCATATTGGTGGTGTATATACTATCAAAATTACTACTGTACTACTTACTCTTTCTGAAGCACCTTGGTTCACAATTATTTCCAAGTGAAGGTTGGCATACAGCTACGTTGCAGTGGATATACACCTGGTCAAAAACAAATGTATTGATTGAAAATATGTTGGCTGGATAGGGCGATATTAGAAATAATATTACAACTAAAATAATCAAAAACCTTTTTTTACTAGATAGTTGGATTGTATACCTTTTCCTTGAGGGGAGTCATAACCTCTGGATCTGAAGCCCCCTTCTTGCCGGTATTGCCACCTCCAGTAGCTACAAATGTGAACATCTTGAAAACAAAACGCCTGTGGTGGGTTGGGAACTCAAGTCCTGATTGGGCACCCACAGGCACCAAAGTGGTCAGGTAACGGTCATCACGGTATGGGCAGCTATGGCAAGGAGAGAGAGTGAGGAATAGGGGCTGAGTACAACATCAAAAATGTATTATAAGTGTCTGTTTCTAAATCAAACCAACCCTTACTCTTACCCATCAATCAACAAGTCCCACTGAGGAAGACTGTGAGGGTAGGGATCAGCAGTAGTCCAGCATCTTCCAAGAGTCAAGACAAGGTTGGGATCAGTCCTCTCCAGCATTCGGATTTCAACGTACACAGGATCCCTAAGCACCTTTGTGACGGGGTAGTCGGAATCCACGTAGAAGGAACTGTAGGCCACCTCCTCTGCTTAAGCAGAAAGATTGGTTGGGGACACACTCACTGCCAAATGAGACTAACTGCACAACACATCTCCTTCACACTAACCTTCCACACAACCCTTGGAATGACACTCTCCGTTGGCCAGCCTCAGTTCCACACGCAGAGGTCCAGGAGCTGCAACTGGGGGTGGTGGAGGAACCAGGCCAACCTCAATCACCAGAGCCTCAACTGAGGTGCCGATGTATCTACACTGTACAAGCAGCCTTGGACAAAAAATAAAGTCTGTGTCAGTAAATCAAAAACATTTGAGTGGAGTTTGTTAAATATCACAATGAACTAATTCTACCCTGTTGTAGAAAATTCATGGTCAGTTTAATTGTCTGAATACTTTAAGACTTAGTAGTAATCTTTTATGTTGTGACCACTTTGTGTTAAAGAAAGAAAAACACATACTCATAGTGGCTGTCCCTGGTAATGGGTCCATAGGGTCCAATAGCAACTTCATACAAGGAGGTCATCCTGTTCTCATAGATTATAACCCCAGGTTCCTCCTACAGTAGCAGGCAGTATCGGCAGTATTTTAATATTCATCATAACCTGATGAAAATTAATACAAATCAAATTAACGGTCAAATGAGCCACAACCCTTACCATTATGACAGTGCCACAGGCAGTTACAGGGAACTGGTAGATCGCAAAAGCTGAAGTGGTGCCGACAGGACTGCAGGACTTCTGATCATTTTCAAGGAAGGTGACTGACTCCAAGTCGATGTTGGGTAGCGTGGCGTCTCTTGCAACCACAACAATTATTTGGGCATCCTTGGTGCACTGAAGAGTCACTGAGAACAACAAATTATAAACAAAGAACAAAGCTCATGCCACACACTTTGCATTTTAAGTGTCAAGAGTATCCATGTAGTTCTATGAGGAGTGAAATAATACTCACCAGATTTGCCGTAATAGCACGTGCGTCCATCAAAGCAACAGTTTATAGCCTCACAATCTGAAGCAGTGATGCCCGGAGCTCCGCACTGTATCTTGTACTGCTCAGCCACTTCACAAGTGTGAAATGTTTCTGTAGGCTGCACGGGCTGCTTGATGTGCTGTTGAGGCTGCTGGGGCTGCTGAGGCTGCTGAGGCTGCTGAGGTGTGTACCTTTTGGGGGTCTGTGACCTCTGAGGCTGCTGAGGTGCCGGTGGGGTGTATTTCGGCGGCTGGGGCTGCTGGGGCTGCTGAGGCTGCTGAGGCTGCTTGAAATATTGAGCATCAGCCAGACAGCCTAGCAGGGCAACTGCCAGAAGACAACCACAAACCAACTTCATTGTCATGGCTTCACAGCATAGAGTGATTGAGAACACCAGATACTGTGAGAAATATTGTGCAAACAGGCTGACTTTTATAAGGTATGGGTAATGTTGACTTGTTGGTGACTCCCTTCCTATTTGCTGCCCACAACTGCCAATCAAATGCTCCAGTTACTGGTTGGTCTGTGGTGACGCACTGACAAGATTAGAGGTGATGCCAAAAACGTAAACTTAGAGAACAAACTCCAGGAATTGAAGAGATATTGCAGCAGAAGATACCAAAATATACATTACAGTAAATGTACTAATGCATGAACATAAATATTTATTGATTAGTTTCTGATCCATGCCTGCTACAGAGAACCCAGTGATTGTTACTGATTATGAGTAAAAGAAATCACAGCTTGTTTGTACAATTTAAAAAAAAAAACCTTCACAGGGTCTGTATGACCTACAGTGTGCAGGTCACCCTGTATTTGTGCAGCACAACATGACAAAACAAATACCTCTTCTTATCTTCAAGTGTATTTGCTATTGCTCATCCAGACCATGAAGAGAACAAATAAATAAAATTGACAAGCATCCAGAGCAACCTACAGTAACATCCCTATTAATCCATTTTAAAGAGTAAGTGAAGTGGTTAGAGTAAGCAGATGGTCTGTGGGTGTACGCTAAGCCTTTCAGTATTCAATAGCTTAACTGGATCCACATGACATGTAGGCCTACTAGCAATTCATGTATTTTCATTCATTAGTTTCAAATATGTACCGTTCACCTTTGGTCTCCAAATATCTCCATTGTTACCTCCGCCAAGGAGGTTATGTTTTCGCCGGCGTTGGTCTGTTTGTCTGTTTGTTTGTTTGTCTGCAAAATAACTCAAAAAGTTGATGAAATTTTCAGGAAAGGTGGATAATGGGACAAGGAACAGATGATAAAATTTTGGTGGTGATCGGTTGAAGCAGTGGATAAAATAATAAATAAAGTCTATCGTCTGACAGCCTCAGCAGCAATTCCAATTTCTAAATACGGTGAAAATAGCGCCATCTGGTGGCCGGAAAGCACGTCTTGTTCTACTTGCTAAATATTGTTGTTATTCTAAAGTTGAAATTAATGTTCTGTGTTGGAAAAAAAGAAAATGAAAAATACAAAAAACATATTATATTCTGTGGTGGTACAAAATAAAAACGAAATAAATACACCACAGTGTCTCCATGGTGAAGGCATATATAACCTAATAATGATAGTGATGCAAATAACCTAATTGTGATGCAGGCTGCAAAATCTGATGCAGAGGGGAGGGAATATCACCTACTTGGTGGAGGTCTGCTCTCTCTGAGTGCTTTTCTAGTTACTAATGTAACCCAAATTAAATATATCCTAAATGTAGTTTGGACTAGTCGTGATTTTAACTGAAGATATCTTCAATTTCTTACAAGATGTCTTGATCAGTGTTGAGCACCAAGTGGTTTGAGGACCTTCTTGAAAATGAAGGTATTGTATTTTTGAGGGGCTAAAGGGGCTCAAAAACTCATGAAACTGCACACACATCAGAAATAGTGAAAAAAACTGATATTTTATGGGTCTCAT